TGTAACTCATTTCTTGTTACTTTACAGCATCTGCATGTATAGATGATGTGAAGGCAGACTGTGCGTGGTTAAATTCGGTTTTCAACATTTGTAATGACACTCAACATGCAAAAACGGAGTGCCCAAAATTCTGCGGGTTATGTACCCTTGGTATGTCACTTAGAAATCTCAAATCTATCTTATAAATCTGAACTTTTCAAGAAATAAGCAGTGATATTGGAAAGAAATAATGAAAATAATACATTCGTATAGGGTAAAATGTAATGTAATTTCAACATTTTGTTAAAAAAAAAACTAAGAGAACTATGAAGTATTAAACATTTAAAATGAAATAATACTAAGCCAGTATTTGTTTGTCCTTTGTATCTATATGAGAGCGTTGTAGGAGCACATTTGTCTCGGAACACATTTGTCTTACGTAAGACCGATGCGGTCGCATTTGTCCCGAATGAGACAAATGGGACCTCAAATGTCTACCCCAAAAAACTCATTTGTGTGACACATGTGCTCCGATCAAGTTTTTTAAGGGACAAGAAAGCACATTTGTCTCATGTCATTTTTTATGAATTATTTGTCACATATTTCCCCACGGCAGAAATTCTTTTTTAGAATCGAGGTTCGCCGTTTTACCTCAAGTGTAATCATCAATAGGTTTGCTTATGCTTTCTTTATGAAAACCTACAGTGAACTATTAATTATAATATCTCTAATTCAAGAAATTGATTGACTTAACCTGAAGGCGTACACTGAAACATACTAAATCCCGTTCACGATGGTACAATGGTGACAGCGCGATGGCACGATGGTACGTTGATGAAAACGCGATGATGCGATGGTGAAAACACAATAGTACGAACGTGAAACAACGATTGTACGATGGTGAAACAACGAAGACTCGATGATGAAAACGTGATGGTACTATGATGAAAGACGGTGTTACGATGGTGAAAATACGATGGTACGATATGATGAAACTGCGATGGCATGATGATGAAAACGCGATATTAGTTTCTTTATCGTGTCATCGCATCATCGTGATTTCACCATCGTGCCATCGTGTTTAAATCATCGTACCATCTCAATTTCACCTTTGTACCATTGTGCATAGCTGTTCAGAGAGACAAAAATGTTACTTAGTCCAAACGGAACACCATCATCAGTTGATATTGAATGATACAATATCGTGACTCGTTTCGCATCTCGCCGAAATCTCGCGTCTCGCGAAATCTCGCGTCTCGCTTCGCATCCCGTTCGTCGACGCGAGACAAGAAATTGATTCCAGGTCATATACCGCTAAGTAGCATTCCCTTTATAGTCTACATAAAATCACTTAAAGGCCCATTATGTCTGAGAAATGCTTTTATTTGTATTCCTTAAAAGCTTTTTTATTTTTGGTATACTTTTTAGCTCCAAAAAGTTACTCATTGGCTAATTACCTGAATCATTTTTCATCTGCTGCTTTTTTTGCAGTTTGTACAGTTGAAGTGATTTAGAATTTTATATTGAAGTCAAAGTACTACATTGTTTACATTTTGCTACTTTTATGCACGCATTAATTTCACATTTACCTGCGCATTCTTTGGGTTACAGCATCTAACTTCCTCAGAAATCATTATTTGAATATTGAATAAAATTCATACTTGCCCTATATCTAATGAAGTAAAAATTATTCACTTCTGAATCTCTTGGTACTGGATACTTCGACATTGCGAGATCTCCTGTTACCGTCGCTTCGTGTCTCATCGGAATGTCGCGTCTCGCCGATTCTGAGTGGCCCGATATTCCAGTAAATTATGGCATTACCGGATATTTTAGAACTCGTGCATGTTGTTAAGTGCCTTTTTCAATGGCGAAAAATCTGAAAGCCGCAATTCTTGGAAAAATGACGAACTTTTTATACATATATTTCTGGAATGAAAACGAAATACGGTGTGTAATTTCTCCATGGGATCATTTAAGGGCATCCCGTGGCCGAGTGATTTCGAAAAAAACCACTTGCCCCTTACCGGCTGTATAGGTTTCGACACACGATACACGGGCGTCCGAACTAATTTCATGCGAGATCCCGGTCAAAGGTCCCCAAATGCCGAAATACATAGCGCGCGTGCGCACGTAAAGCTATCGCGTGCACACGTAATGCGCAAGTAATAGTATCGCGTGGACGGAAAAGCAGGTGTTGCGCACGTTAATAAAATAATGAAAAATTCGAACATGTTCCCCTTTATGCACCGTAGATACTACCATTTTTTGCTAAGAAATATTCTAGTGCGGAAATAAATCATTTATAAAACTTTAAGCCATGAAAAAAAACGTATCACAATTGATAACGATAAGAATACAGTAGACTTGCTGCATATGTTGTTTTAGGTTCTGGATGCTGCACTTGTAGAAATTTTCATTGTGACGTGCAGAACAGGGATATTCTTTAATTTGATATAATTATGACTCCTATGCAGAGACAGGAAGTTTTTGGCTGACCGGAAGTGACCTAAAAACGGTATTATAAATACAGAAAACACAGAACAATGGCTGGTAGCCGGTAAACAGATGGACATAATTATTACCTTATAAGATTTTTTTGGAAAAAATGTGAGACAAATGTGCTTCGAGTGTCCTTTCTATTGTGTGTCGAACACATCTGTCTCATTTCCAGTTTGTCGCAAATATGAATGTTTACGAACACATCGGTCACACTTCGTGAGACAAATGTGCTCCGAGACAAATGTGCTCCTACAGAGCGTCCGTTTCATAAGAGTGTTGTGCTTTTGTTTCTTCGGGTCATTAAGACGCTCAGTCGCGGAAAGGGGCGCAGTATTTACAGGTTTTTGATGAGTATTTTACATTAAAGTTGACGGCGATTGGGCAACGTGGTCAACATGGTCACAATGTGACGTCACGTGTGAAAATGGTACCCAGTCTAGAAAACGGACTTGTACAAACCCGGCACCAGCTGATGGTGGTCTCGACTGTATTGGTAATGGTGTAGAGATCAAGATGTGCAAGAAACAACTTTGTCCAGGTTTAGTTTAAATACGAATTTATTTTAGTCCAGATGTGTTGGAAGCTATTGGCTATACATAAATTATTTTAATAATGTATAAAACATTATTTACGAAAGTCTTCAAATTGATATACATGTATGTGTTTTCAATCCCTTACTGATAGTCGCTTTGAAACTGACACGTGGCCTGAAATACTGCTCGGCCTTACTCTTACGGTTTCTTAACGACAGTGTCGTTGTTACTATATACAAAGTCTTTCAATATTTTCTGTCAGATGGTGTTAACATGACGTATGGTGGCTGATTTGGTACGTTTTGTGCGACTAGTTGGCGCTAGCGACAACACGAAAAAGCGCCAAACGATGAGTTGTCGGACTTTCGTCTTGTCGTCCTGTCGCTAGCAACAACACGCAAAACAGCGCGTTGTCGTGCGGCGCGTTATCGCGATGTCGCTCTGTCGCTTGGCTTATAAGCCAATTTTTCAATTTGAACCGAGCGACAATGTGACATCGCGACAACACGCCTTACTGCAACGCGCCGTTTGTCGTGCCGCGCTAGAGACAGGGCGACAAGACGACAGTGCGACGCACAAAAGCGTACCAAATCAGCCACCATAATAACGTATTACAAATTCTACTAGTATTTCAAATAGGCTTCTCACGAGTACTTACTGACTTTGATATGAATTCATTGTATGCCAGTAAATACGCTATTCTTCGCTTTAATTAAGATTTTTCGTGAATATTCATCGTCTATGTAATCAGTATATACATTGTATAATAATACAGTTCATGGAGGATGGAGTAAGTGGTCAAACTGGGAATCTTGCTCAGTAACTTGTGATATCGGAATTCAAAGACGACATAGAAATTGTTCAAATCCTTATCCAGACAGATTTGGTGACCATTGTTTTGGTGAATCAATGGATGACAAGATATGTACGCCAGGACCTTGTGCCAGTATGTTATTGTTTATACCATGTAGAAAATGTGCTTATATGAATGAATCAGAATTAGTCAAATGGCAATATGGGACGTGTTGTGTATTTAATAGGTCCATTGACTTGGATATTTTCCTATTCGTCATACAATTATTGTATTATATATGTTTCGAAATTATATATATAAACCTATCTCTTGTCACACTAGAGACTGAAGAATGGTTGCATTAATTACTCAACAGTTAATCGTTTTATTAAAAAAGTATTAAACATTCTACAAATCTTAATTCAGTGCGGCTAGAGTGATTAGTAATACTATATTGTTTGTTTGATTAATTCGTCATCTTTATATCAAACTTTTTTTATACATGTATGTTTGCACATACGTAGAGTAATATGTTTCTACAGATTTAATTGCATTTTTATGTTAAAATTAAAAGATAATTAAAATATGGTGTTGTCGGTAAATATATTTTCATTTTAGCTCGTCTGTTTCGAAGAAAAGGTCGAGCAATTATGATTGCTTCGTTGTCGTTTTTTAAGGAAAACACAAAACGTGGAATATATGCTTATGATAACGGGTTGCAGTTGTAAGAATGGCAGCATGATTCTGAAAGCTAAATATTTCAGAGTTATGCCCCTTTTAATAGAGAATTTATTATCAGTATTTTCTGTTAATTACGATACTTAAATTATCTGTTAATCATGCCATGGCATAGTTTTGAGACGAAAGGCATTCTTACAGCTATAGTTTGGGAGTTATGCCACGTTTCACTTAGAACTTTAGTCAAAATTGCTTGTTAAGTAAAATGACTTCAAAACTATGAAAGATATCAACATGAAACTTTGAAGAGTTTATTATCATCGCAATCAGGGTCTTTCAAATATAATTTTATTTGAAAGACCCTGTCACACAACTGTATAAATAGAGTATTTCCCTGAAAGCGATATTTTAGTAGTTATATCCCTTTTATTAAAGAATATTCACAAAAATAACTTATTGATAGTCATTGCCTTGAAAAGACCAGCGGTAACATCATATGCGGTGCTCTTGTTTAGATGGAGGCTGGTCACCATGGGATGTATGGGGCACGTGTAGTAAAACATGTGGTGTTGGACTTCAATCAAGGTATAGAACGTGTACAAACCCTTATCCGTCTACTCTCGGACAATCATGTGCTGGAAATAATGTTCATGTCCAAACATGCAACACACAGTCATGTCGTAAGTCATTGTAATTTTAAAGGTGTTTTTCTCATACAAATTTAGCAATCATTGTAAAATATAAACGATATCGCACATGTATATTATCAAGTCTCATAAAATAAGCCTTAGCCTTTTTTAGATACATGTATTATCTTATTCTATAAAAGCATAAATACGTAATTATACGAGGGGAAGTCAGAAAATATCCGGACTTTTGACTCGTTCTCGAAAACCATTCAACATTAAAAAAAATCGTTCTACTCTTCCACCTACGTCTACGCACTTTTGCCATCTTCGTGGGAGCTTTTGTATTCCCGCTGTGAACCATGACGAAGACCTTTGTTTGAGGTACTGTGTAACAGCAGATAGCAAAGCCGCTCTGGTCTTATATTTTTTTCCAGCAAGCAATTATTTCAGTTCTGGAAACAAATTAAAGTCACAGGGGGTGAGGTCTGGGCTATAATAAGGAGTGTGAGACAACAATTGCCATTTGTAAGAGTTGATAACCTCCACTGTAGCTGCGGCGGTATGGGAGGGGCGTTATCGTGAAGAAGGAGGACATTTTTCTGTGCTAACCTGGGACGCATTTGCTTCAGCTTTTCTCTGATATTTTTCAGAATTACTTCAGAATAGTACTTGGCGGTGACAGTTTGACCTTTTGGCATGAAATGAGTAAGTATCATTCCTCGTGAAATCCCAAAAGGCAACAAGCATGACTTTGCCAGCCGAAGGAGACAGCTTAAACTTTTTTAGGAGGTGGGGAACCAGCTCGTTTCCACTGCTTTTGACTGAGCTTTTTTGTCTCAGGTTCGGAATAATGAACCCACATCTCAGCTCCAGTGATAATGCGGTTCAAAAACTTATCTCTTCACGATTAAAACGACCTAAATGTTCTTTTGCATTGGTTACTCTGGTTGCCTTTTGATCTGCGGACAGCTGTCTAGGCACCCACCTGGCATTTACCTTGCTCATGCCTAGGTGTTTGTGTAAAATCTTGTGTGCCGATGCCTTTACCGATGCTAAAACTTGTTGGCTACCTCCTCCAAAGTTACTCGATGACGATTTTTGTTGACAAAAGCTTTAACATTTGCTACCATTGTTGGGGTCACCGCCTCAGCTGGCGCGCGCAGTCCTAGGCCTGTCACAAACATTTGTTCTGCCTTCACGAAACTGAGAAACCCAGTTGTAGAAAGTTGAACGTGATACAAATTTATCAGAAAATCTTTTTTAAGCCTCTGAAAGATGTGGCAGGGCTTTTCACCTTCTGCAACCAGAAACTTTATTACAGAGCGTTGTTCCTCTAACAAAGAGTCCATGATAGACGAAATACCTATCATATATCAGACGGCAAAATACTGTTTATACACAACTATCACTGAAAATAAACTGACCACGTTATTGGCGAATGAATGTAGTTTTCACCAATATATAATGTGTGTATATAGCTGCACGTGGAAAGAGAAGAGCATGAAAAGTCCGGATATTTTCTGACCGTCCCTCGTATAATACATGTACATGATTTTTACTTTCTTTATAGAAAAAGATCCAGTTATTGCGTTTGAAAGCAGTAAGTTGGAAAATGAGACCTTAAAAGAAGGCGAGGTGTACGTGTTCACGATAACGTTGATGAATATAGGTGACGGGTACGACAATTTGACTGGTATATTTACAGCTCCGGTAACTGGCCTATACTCGTTTTCCACCCAACACTGTTTATCTTACTCGAGAAACAGTAGTTCCAGTATTTTCTCTTTTGTCGTCAACAATAAGGAGATTAAAAACATCATGTTCGAAAACTCGGAGCACGTATCATGCGGCACCTTTGATGCTTTAACACATCTAAAAAAAGGCGACCGGTTTTGGATCAAGTGTACCAGTGAGTCGAGTTTGTATGAGGACCTAGTCCGCTGGAACACGTTTTCTGGATTTCTTATACACACATAGAGTTCTGGTTGTCAAGGTTACCGTTTAATACAACAAAATGTAATTGTTTAAAGGAAAATTTTAAAAATCGGGAAAAATTTAAAATGATATTCCAAATTAAAGGGATTTTTCCCCCGGTTTTGGCCAAACATTTTTAAATTTTTAAAAACTAGTGTATTTTTAAACTTTTTAAAAATCTTAAACAAAATTCTTTTTGCGTTTGCGTTAAAAATTTTAAAAAATTTTTCTTTAAAATAAAAGGGTTGATATACAAAATATTTGGTTTAAAAAAGGCTTTGTTTTTGTTTTTTGGGTTTTTGTTTTTTTATAAATTAAATTTCCCTTTTTTTCAAAAAAATTTTGAAGAGAGAGACAAAGCTCTTTAATGTATGTAGGAATTTTGTTTCAGATTTCAATTTTTCCAAAATCCTCCCTTAAATTCCCCGCACGAAAAAAAACACAAAAAAGTTTCCCCATATTTTTTGGCTGATGCCCCCAAAAACCAGAAATTTTTACTAAAAAAATTTTTTTATTTAAAACAACATTTTGCAAGGAACATATATTTCCAACTTACTCCTAACTACTTGTTTGTTTTTTATATTCATACTAGGTTTCGACAGTAATTTATATATTGAATTTCTATCAAATGAATTGAATGAAAGAATAATCGCACATAATAGATGTCCATGTATTTCACAATTCGTTTGATAATCCGATTTTTTTTTATTTCAAATGAAAAACAAAACAGAACATAAATTTTGAATGTGTTCCTTCCTAAGATGTTTGAGTCCCGTATCATTTCATTATAACTTAATTTACTTGTCTTGTGCTAAATCAACACATTAACATTTTAAAGTGTTTATGAAAATCGCATTTCTTGAAAAAACAGATTTCAAATGTCTACTTTTGTTTTCTCAATTTCCTATAGATATCACTTCTTAAACAATAACTTGTAATGTTTACATGTTATAGCTAAATATTAATTGCGCAACATTTAAAATCGCATTGTGCCCGACTTACTCTCAAAAATGGTTTCTTTTTTTATTTTGGCATAAATAATAATTAATAATAATAATAATAATAAATAAAGATTTATTTAACGAGAGAACTCATTTGAACAAACATATCAATCTTCCATGAGGCCCTCAACAAGGAACAATGTAAACTTTTAACTTTATTCAAAACTATTAAAATACATAAAATGTAAAAACATACAGGAGATTATCAAATTTGCATACATGGATATGTGATAATTACCTTTCAAGTATAAAAGGGTTTAAAATGGTTAAAACAGATGTAGCAGATTAATATTAATTTCAGGAAGGCCATTCCAAATTACAAAAATCCAGAATAAACAAAAAGACTTCGAGAAATTGTTCAGTATTTGGTCTAGGGGTATAAAGGTGAAAATCAGATGATGAACGCAAAATGCGAGTATGAACATCTGACGATAAAATGAAATTATTCAATAAATAGGTAGGCGCCTGATTATTCATTATTTTAAACATCATAGTAGCTTTTTGAAAAACAACCCTCTGTGTAATCCTGTTTACATCAAGCTTTAAGCATAATGATATATTGCAAAACAGGTCCAAGGGTTCTCTCTAAATAACTATAAAAAATCATTCAAATTATCTGATCAAAATCGGTTGAATAATAAATAAATTATAAATAAAAAAACATACCTGAATCGGTGAAAAATCAGCGTGCTCCGTACCCGAAAAGTCACGTGGTATGGCCACCTTGATTTAAACATAACTTTATAAAAATATGCTAAAACATCACTGTATTCACTATAAACATTGGACATAGTAAATCTAAAATTTAAACATGCATTTTTCATAAAAATAGTGAAAAAAAACTTTATGACTTGATAAAAAACCCGTTTGGGTTATGACAAAGGGTGTGTCCCCCCGTTCCCTTCCCCCGGGCCCCCGGGCTATGAAAAGAAAACTGTACTCAAAATGTTCTAAAAAAACCCATTAAGGGGTTTTTCAGAATTTTTTATTACCGTGGAAAAACTGATATAATTAGGGGACTCTGCGCCTTTTCTGATTTAAAATCGGTTGAGTAATAAAAAAGTTATAAATAAAAAAAAAAAACCTGAATTTGGGTTAAAAAACAGCGTCCCCCCTACCAAAAAAATCAGTGGGGTTTTGGCCCCCATCGGTTAGGGACCATCTTCCCTAAAAGGCTGGTAAAACCCGCCCGTGCCCAAGCATTTGGGAAGTAGTGAATCTAAAAGCCCATGAAATAATCTCATTGGGAGCCCCCAAAATTTTGAAAAAAAATTTATCTTTTCTGTTTAAAAAAGTTAATTCCCACAAACAAGGGCGCACAGTAGTCAAGGATTTGGTAAAAAACATGAGTTGTAAAATTTTTTAAAAGATTTAAATTTTTGAACTTTTTTGTAGTTTGTATTTTTTTTATAATGCCACCCTTTCACGGAAAGGTGTAACCCCTTTTAAAAACTGACCCCCATAAAATTTAAAGACCCCCCGGTTTAAATATTTTTATTTAAAAATTTAAAACCCCCCCCGGTTTTAAAATATTTTGACAAAAAATTATAAATTCCCTACCCCGTAGAAAAAAAGACCCTCGCATAGAAAAAGTGACCCCCCTTTTAGAATAAGGAAAAACCCAAAAACCCCAAAACCCCAAAATTTTTAAAGCCCCCTTAAATTAAAATTTTTTAAAGAAACACTCTTAATATAATTATCTCAGATGAGAAATATGGTAATGTCATTTTTTTTCGTGCGTCTGTCCGTGCGACCGTGCAACCATTCGATCTTCTATTCGACGAAATTGTTTCAAACTACTATAGCTACTATACTCGAAGCCCTTCCTCAGTCTGCATTTTCTACAAATGACAACGGCCAGGGAACTGTTATTCGACTGCAATCATTGTTTGTTTTTGTTTTTTTTTTGTTTTTTTTTTGTTTTTGTTTTTTGTTTTTTTGTTGGAACCACGTTTAAGGCCCGTTTATTAAAGAAAAAATAATACAATACAAGAATACAAACCATGATAACTTTATCATTAACATTGATATGTAGATAATTAAAAATAAATTTATTTTGTTATGTTTTTAGTTAGAATATATAAGACATTTTAAAAAGTTAAGAGGTTCATTCATTTATACAATTACACAAGAAAAGGGGCAAAAGGTTGAAAAAGTAAATAAAAAGTTAAAAAATAAAAAGTAGATAAACTGCTTTAGTAGCATTTTTTCTGCATGTACTATTTAGAAATCAAACAATTCAATTAGATTTATCCAGCAATTTTCAAATTCTTCTAATGTATCATTTTGTAACGCAACAAATCTTTCAATTTTTAATCTGTTTAAAAATTTTCTTTTGAAGATACTTATATCTGGAGTTTGTTTTTTTAATTTACTGGTATAAATGTAATATTTTGAAAAGAGAAAAATATACGATGTTTTCTTATCTTTAGCATGAAAGAAAGATGTAAAATCATCATACGTAACATTTATTGCTATTTCATTAAGCCATTTGAATAAATTATTCCAGAAAATTTGTACTGTTTGAAAATGAAAACTGCTCCGAGCTTGTAAAGAATCTATTAGAATCTGAATTGAAAATAGACAATGCCAAAAGCATCACATTCGATCGTGCTCATCGACCTAGGTCCAAAACGTTGGTGGGAAAGTTCGTCCTATAGTGGTGAAATTTCACTGACTATAACTCACGAGAAATGGTACGCCGCCTTAAGTCCTTACAAACTGACATATTAAACAATTATTAAAAAAAACAATGGACACTGGGCAAGTGGGAATTCAATCGCCCCAAAGAATATCGTCGCAAACGCACGAAAAAGCCTTCAAACCATTGATAGATGGATGCAGAACAACACAACCAGACTCAACGCGCATATTCAGGGAATAAACTTTTCATTAACAAGAAATTAGTGGTGTGTTTTGTTGATGGCCAAGATATGTGAACCTCCGCACAACGTGATTAGGATTGTCACGAAGAATTCGACATCAGATTATTAACATGGAACATTAATGGTTTATGTAGAAAACTTTCAGATACAGATTTTTTAGAAATTTTATTCTCAAAATATGATATAGTTCTTTTTGTCCGAAACATGGGTTCTAAGTAAACATATTTAACTTAGATTTAAGTGGATATTGTAGTGAACACATATTATGGCAAATAAGACTATTAACACGAAGAAAAGGTCGATATAGCGGTGGTCTATCAATATACTATCGACAAAATCTTAGTAAACATATAGAAATTATTGAAAAGAATACAAAATGGAATGTTATGGCTTAAACTATCTAAATGTTTATTTGATTTTAAGGAAGATGTATACATTTGGTCTTGCTTATATAACCACCAATTACCTCAAAGCTTGTTAATACAGATTTTTGATTTTTTAACAAATTAGAGACAGGGTTTGAAAAAATACTCATCAATGGGGGAAAATGTTTTCCTTATTAGGGGACTTAAACAGTAGAATTTTTCCAAACAAGTTGATTATCTCGATTTCGACCAGATATATTGATAATGAATGACCAGTTGTCGTCTGTTTTCATACCGCCACGTGTATCAAAAAGATCACGTGCTCGATACTTTCGGTAAACGGCTCATAGAATTATGTCAGTCTACATCGTATATAATAGGCAATGGCCGTCTAGGTAAAGATCAAGGCATAGGAGAGTTTACATTTCATTCTCTAAATGGGTCTAGTGTAAAGATTTATTTTTATTTAAACCAAACGATATTTGTCATGTAAAAAACTTTGAAATACTAAGCCCTAACGAATTTTCTGATCACTCGGGGAATATCTTATAAGTTTCAATAAAAAAACGTTACAAACTACATTAAAATAATAATAACGACAAACAACAGAATATTCGTATTGCTTGGGATAACTCAAAGATTGATGAACTTAATTATAATTTATCATTAAAGAGTAATGAAATACAAAATCTGACAGATATTGATTACACAACAAATAATTAAATGATATAACAGAACGCTTCATAAAACATTCTAAAAGAGTCGTCATCTTGTATGCT